GCAGCGGCCTGCATCCGAACAGTGCTTTCTGCCTCTCTCGCACTCCCGGGGCGTCCCGCAGGGTCCCGCAGGGGTGCGAGCGAGACAGAGCGACTTGGTGAGAGCCAGCGCGTCATTATCGGGGCCTTCATTACCATGTTCGCGTGTGCATCGTGCCATGAACCGATGAATAAATGACTGGATGAATGAATGGAGACGTTTCCGACAATGTATAAAGACGTGTGAGAGACGGGGCGCTTCGTTGTTTTGTTTTTGACACCCTCCTGCATTCCGTCGTGCCGTAAGCACACTGATAAAATGCTCACAGTTCCATATCGTTTTCCCACCGATTGCATGTTCAAGCCATTCCTTGCCAGCAACCCCAACTCACGGAGCGCGCTCGCAGCGCGTTAGTTTTCCAGTGGTGCGTCATCGTGAGCAAATACGGCCAACCTGCGCGCGCGTGACATCACCTCGCCGGCCACGCCACGCCAGTGTAAACAAAATCTGTGCAGCCTCCTCCTGTGTCCATATAGGACGGTGGCGCCGCCGCTTCCGTGCGCTGTGCGCTATCGGTCAGGTATCTCCGACGTAGTCTCCGACGTAGTCCGGCAAGGGGCCCGCTCCGAACGTTGCCCTTTCGTCTCACTCTGTCTCTCTCGCACTCGCGGGCAGGGCGGTGGGGGCGCGAGAGAGACAGAGCGCACGGTTCGGAATGAGCCTGCTGCTGGCGCCAGCCCGTCACAAAGGCCGGTGCATTACAATGGGGGTCAGCACAGTTTGACGCACCCATTCATAATCCGGGGCCTGCGCTCTGATTCGGAGAGTCGTTTTCGCCGCTCTGTCTCTCTCGCACCCCTACGGGACGCCCCATGAGTGCGAGAGAGACAGAGCGACGAAAGTGACCCTCGGACTCAGTCTGCCGCTCGGTGTGAGCCTATCTGGGGCTGGCCGGTCCTCGCCCGGGGCCGGAGTTGCGTGGCTCTCTCGCTCTACGCCTCGCTCTACGCCCTGCCCGGCGTCGGCCTGCTTCGTCCGCGACCGGCCGCATTGTTCCGTGTAGACATTGGATGTCAAAACAGACGCAGCGCTGCGCCGGCGGCGGCGGCGGCACCCGCGCGTTCCCACCGGACCCGATCACCCGTGTGTCCCTACACCTGCAGCCCGGGCCGGGCCGTGGGCCGTGGCTCCACAAAGGGACTAATTTGGCGGTTTAAAAATGAAATCAAGGGAGAAGAGACCCCGGGGAGATCATGCCTGGCTTCTTCGTCAAATGGGGATGCAGGGGAAAAAGTTACTTTTGTTCAACTGTTTGTTGTTGTGTTTGTTTTTCCACGTTATAAACGGTTCCTCACGGTTTTCCCCACGCTGAGAAAACCTTACAAACTATTTCAGGCCTTACAAAGCAAAGTAGTTTGTTAGAACAAAGTATTTTGAGCATACATAAGATTACAAAGAAAATACTTCGTAATTTACGAACTTTTTCTTCGTACAAGGTTTTAAGGGTGCAGGAACTCGCTGGAAATCACCTATGTCTTTACAATGGGTTAGTAGTGAAACAAAGGTATTACGTACATCAGGTGACTTCGTTCGAGTAAAACACACACTTTGCCTCGCCGCGACCGCGGGGGCCGTAGAGCAACTGGCCCACTCGCTCCACGACGGGCTTGACGACGGGGCTGGGCAGGGTCAGCAGCTCTTCTCGTCGAGGGGCGACCCGTGCCCCCCCCTCTTTTCCTCCCCTTGCCGCCCCTCTTTCGCCGTCTGCAACGCATTAGACTTGCAGAGTGGAGAGGAGCCAGGCTGCCCGTCTAATCTGCATTAAAGTCCTCGCTGCCTGCCACGGCGAGGTGCATTTAGCGACTATTAAAAAGGCCGCTCGAAAAAGTCGAACATCGCCGGTTTAAACGAGAGAGAAAAAAACGGGAAAAGAAGTTTTTGAAAGAAAAAGTAAATAAAGGGAGGACTCGACCGTGCCGGTAATCGAACCCGGGTGAGTGAAGACGCCGGCGCGACTTGAAACTCGCCGCATGTTTTGGCTCGCGACACAAAAGAAGACTAGGGCGGCGCCTCTCTCTCTCTCTCTCTCTCTCTCTCTCTCTCTCTCTCTCTCTCTCTCTCTCTCTCTCTCTCTCTCTCTCTCTCTGTTTCTCTCGTGGGCCAAGGCGTCCGTCTGAAGCAAATCCCGGCGGCCCGTTCGGCAAGGGACGACCGGCAGCGTGAATGCGATTAGGCCGATGATGCGTGTTGTTGCGACAGGCGGCCTCAGGGGCCATTCAGCCGACGACAGGCAGACAGACAGACAGGCAGGCAGCGCATCAGGCATTCGTGCTCAAATGTGCGTGAGCGGGGCCGGCGGGGCCTGGCGCCTGCGAGGTAGGCAACGCGAGCGCACGGCTCCGCCCGGGTGGCCTACCCAGCCATTGCCATTACCATTAAGGGCTGGGCGTTCCGCACGGGGCGCTCTGCCACGCTCTGCTCACAGTGCACGGGGACAGTTTTCCCGTTTCGCTTTGAGCAGCTCTTCAGCATTTCTTTGAGGGGACTCCAATCAATGCCTCAATTCCTCATTCGAAGGGCAGTCCATTGGTAGCATCACGTGTTTGATTGGAGTTTAATTTGCGGAAAACGGGCTGAAAACGTGCGCGGCTGAACTGACTAGCTCCTGTCCAAGCGTGGCCCGGCCTGCTGACTGATTCCGAGAGTCGTTTTCGTCGCTCTGTCTCTCTCGCACTCATGGGGCGTCCCCTGAAGAACCGAGAGAGACAGAGCGGCGAAAAAGACTCTCGGAGTAAGCCTGCTGACGGTCCACCGTTGGTGTCTCTCTCCTTCAGCCGCAGGACTCCGGGACGCCCCACGAGAGCGACAGAGACAGGAGGCCGCAACGCGTGGGAAAGGCTGGAGTGCCAACAAGGAGATTACAGTGTAGTGGCTTTATGACAGGGGGTCCTCGGGTCCTAAATGGATGATCCGGGAATAATCCTTGAATCCTCGCGGTCAGCGCGCTGAGCACCCTCAGGGCGTCGCCTTGCCCCGCCGCCCCGCTCCCCCACCACCACGGCAAGGACGCGGCGATGTGGAGGGTGCTACGCGAGCCACGACACCACTACGTGGATCCACTGTACGTGGATGGTGCTACTCCCGATCGTTTATCTAAACAGTTTTGAGAGAGCGCGCAGCTCCGCTGCTCGCGGGTCGGGCCGGCCGGGAGGCGTGGCGCCAGCCCGCGCTAGCAGTGCGAGAGAGACAGAGTCGGTGAGTTTGGACGAGACACTCAGCCAGGAGCGCTCTTCTGACGGTAAGAGGGCTCTACTGAAGCGCTCTACTGGAGTCTGGAAGAGACCCTCCGCTGCAGCCCGCCGCGCTGCTGGGCCGGGCCCCCCTCGCCCTCACCCCCCGCCCACCCCCTTTCCAGGTGACTCATTGCGTTTTAATCTGTTCCGTTAGCGGGCCCGGCACGGCCAGTACGGCCGGGCCGACGGTGGCAAACCGTTGCAGCAGCGGCCGGCAAAAACCAAAAAGCGTGGCAACGGCCGCATGCATTCGCCGCTGGCGGCGCGCATGCGACTGCAGGCACTCGAGGAGGGAGGCGGGGAGGCGTCGCGTCCGGGAGGGAGGCACGACACGCCGCGCGAGAAGCGCGAGGCACCGCGAGGCACCGCGAGCAGCCAGTCAAGAGCTCCATTCTGGACCATTACGGCGACGCGGCGACGCGACGGCCATGCTGCAGACACCCGCGGCGGCCCGGCGGCCCGGCGGCGCGCTGGGGATTGTTCCCGTCCAGAGTGGCGGAAGCGTGCGGAAGCGACGACGAATTGGTCGGGGATCCGCCGTCGGCGTCCTCGGCGTCCTCGGCGTCCGCGCGTTAACGTCTCCGGAAGGCTTTCGAATCAAGTCCGTCGGGGCATTGTACTCGCCGCTCGCCCTCTTACCCGCGCAGTGTATCGTCATTAACTGCCAAACCAACAGATGGTCGTTTTTATTGTTTTTAAACGGCACTGCCTTTCGATTTTTTCCGCCGCCCGTTTCCCAAACGACTTTACTCAGGCGGCGGTGGAGTGCGGCCTTGCGGCCTACACAGGTGTCGGCCGGCGCCGCCTTCTCGATGGCGGCGAGGCGGCGAAAGGGGCGCGGCGTGTTCAGTGACGAGAGCCCTCGCGCTGGAGAGACGTGAAGCCGGCGAGGCCGGCGAAGCCGCAGACAAAACTTGAGAGAACGACTCTCCTCTGAAGGACGCCGAGAAGGGGTGTCGCGGCCGTGCGCGGGGGCGGGGCGAGGCGGGGCGGGGCGTCCGTATTGGAAACACACACCATTGTCTGCGGATTAGTTGTTCTGGCCATTTTATTGCCACTAGGGATGAGCCCCTTGACACAGTCGCGCAGCTGTTTAGCCAAGCCCTTGTGGACGTGTGGAGCTGACCCGTAGGGCCGCTCTAGGGCCGCTCTAGGGCCGGGACTAGGGCCTGGCACTATCGTCTCCACGACCAGAGCCTCCCTCAGTCAAGGGCCCTGCTGGCTTGGAGCGCACTCGGCCCTGCCCTCAACCCGGCCGGGGCCCCGGGCCCTGCCCTGCCCCGTCCCGGGCCACCGCGGTTAAGACTCGCTCATCCCATTGAGTGCCCACGCCCAATTCACGATCGGTCCATGGCAGTGGCCAAAGGCCAAAAAACGCAAACATAATCGCAATCATGCCATTAGCATGCGTGCCCCCGGCATGCCGCGCCGTGCCGTGGCGAGCCGCCGCGACGCCCCCCACCCCACCGGCCGCCCTCCCCTCCCTCCCCTCCCCTCGGCCGCTGCTCCAATCCTCTTGAGGCGCGTCGAGTGGGCGGCGCCGGGCGGGGCGGGGCGGGCTGCGGGCGGGGCGGCGGGGCGCGGCCACCCTGTCGAGGATTGGACAACGCTCCCCCCTCCAGGCCCTCCAGGTCGCCCCCCACCCCCGGACCCGGCCGGCGGAGTCGAGCCGCCTCCTCCAATTTATTGCCCACCATTGCGGGCCCTACAAGCGCTACACTCCACGACCACTCCACGAGGCTGACACAAGCCGGAGTTTGGCTGAGCTCCGCCAGGCTCTCGCCGAGGTGCAGCCTAGTGGCAGCCTAGTGGCAGCCTAGTGGCCCTGTCGGCCAGGCCCTGTCGGCCAGGCCCCTTCTTCGGGTACGCCGCACGCGCACCGCTGCGCACCGCACTGGGCCGCGCCTAGTATATGTCGCTCCCGGTGGCGCCGTCGCTGCTCGCCAGCCTGCAGGAACATGGCCCGGACCCCGCCGCCCATGGCCTGCTGCCTGAGCTGAGCGTGGCCGACCTGGCCATGTCCTTGAGCCCCAAGCACCATCAACTTCAGCACCAGCACCACCTGCAGCAGCAGGGCCAGCACCCGGCCCACTCGACGCCCTTCTCCGTGACCGACATCCTCAGCCCCATGGAGGAGTTCAGGAAGTTGGAGCTGTCCGGCGCGGGCTCCAGCAGCTCGTCGGCGGGCACCCCGGCGCCGCCGCCCGCGCCCAACCCGGCGCCCTACGTGCAGTTCCCGCCGCAGTACTGTGCCCCGGACCTCGCGTACGGCGACGTGCGGGGGCCCTCCGGCTGGTACGGCACCGCCGCCGACCCTCGATTCACAAGTGAGTTCGGCGCGGAAAGTGCACCGAAGTGGTGAAAGTGGTGAAACAAAAGTGAAGTGCCAGGATACAGTGCGTGTTTACAAGTGTTGTGCCTCGCTGCCTCGCGTGACAAGGATACCCGCAGTCTGGATACAGCGTGCCTGCGTCCGCCGGGCCCGGGGTCTTGCACCAGCTTGCCCGCGGCCCGGCCCAGGTTTGAACCAACGCCACATTTGCATGGAGAGCAGGGTCTTTGACATTTCTCATTTCGTGGTTTGCTTTTGTCAGTGCACTGCTAATAATTCGCGCAAATCGATTGCGTTACGTGTGTCAAGAACCCTATGGATTTTTGACGAATGAATGCCACGTTTTTACGTCAGTTGTGATTTCTTTTGAGGGTTGACAAAAACCGGGCGGTACACGTAGTCCTTGGAAAGGCATCGTCCTTCTCGAACGGCAAAAAGTAGCAAGGGCAGCCAGAACATTCGGGGAAGCATGGACAAAAGGCGAAAAAGGGGCGGGGAGGACGATTTGGCGACGGCCCCAAAATAAACGCTCACGCCGAGGGCCTTCCGGGGCTGGGCCGCGATACCACTCGACGCCTGTGATTCCGAAGGACTGTTTCTTCTCTCCGTCTCTCTCGCGCCTCGACGGGACGCCCCACGAGTGCGACAGAGACAGAGCGACGAAAGCGATCCGTCGGAATCAGGCGGCTGTACTACCCGCCAGCCAACGACCCGCGGCGTTAGCAACCGCCTCATTCGCGCGCGCGTCTTTCTGTATCTCTCACTCTAACGGGATGCTCGCCGAGAGAGACACGAACGCGTCCTTTCGGAATGAGGCGTCGAAATGCGGCTTCCTGCCCGCGCTAAATGAAGGGGCCGCCCGCCCGCGAGTTTGGCCGGCCGGGCGGACACTGCACCGCGCTCCTTGGATGCAGCGGCGTAGCAGGCGTAGCAGGCGTAGCCAACTCGGATCCGAGAGGTGCCAGTTCGCAGCAACCAGCCACAGGTTTCGTTCTGCCCTTTCCTACGCCACTGCTTTGATTCATGAGCAAAACCGGCGCGAGCGTTGTTACCCCCCCCCCCTTTTCCCGGGCTAAATAGCCCATTCATTCATTGATCCTTGGCTGGTTTTTGAGGCCACGCATTTAGCCACTTATTTTGCGACCAAGTTATGAATAAAGTCATTGCATCATCGTTTAGATTCATTCATCGTTTAGTCATTTCATCTTTCAGTCATTTCATAGTTTAGAGTAATTTATACTTAAGTCATTTGTCATCGTTTAGAGTCATTCAAGTTAAGTCATTAAGTCATCGTTTAGAGTCATTCCATGAATCTCTCAGCCATTCCATCATTCTTTCAGTCATTAGTACTGTCATGCGCACGCTTAAAACCTTTCAAAGTTTTTGACTATACATAGTACAAACTAATTTACTTTGTTATACGAAGAAATAGTTTGTAAATTACAAAGTATTTTCTTTGTAAGCTTATGCATGCTCAAAATACTTTGTTATAACAAGCCACTTTTCTTTGTAATGCCTAAAAATGATTTGTAAGGTTTCTCAGTGCGGCCATCCATTCTGACATTTGTTTAGTCATTCATTCAGTCATTAGCTGTTCATTTGGCTATTCGTTTGACGACTTTCAGCCTGAAATTCAGCCAGAAATCAGCCTGAAATTAAGACGTCTGCTTCATGTCACGCATTTTTAGACTTTTTGCTAAGCCAGGGCAGCTATTTGAGAATCGATTAGGCTATCGTAAATTCACGCCGAAGCGCGTGTTCTCGATCTGGTGTAGCGATCCACCGCCTAAAGTGCAGACAATTATGGTAAATAGAGCCGAAACAACGAGGCTGTGCCCCGGGCCGCCTGGCCGCGCCGGCCGTGCCGCGGGGAGGAAGGGGAGGGGAACGACCGGCTCGCGGCCGCAAGGCGAGCTGGATTTTATTTATTTATTTTTTGCCTCCGACTTTCTTTCCGGCGGCATGGCAGTGTGGTGTCGCTGGGCCCGGCTCGGCGCGGCTCGGCGCGGCGCGAACGCCCATTGGCCCGGCGCGGCGCGGACCGCGAGGGTGCGCCAATCAGAGGCCGGGACGCGCCGGGCCGTGCCGAGCCGCGCCGAGCCGGCCGCGCCAAAGGCGTCATGTGCCGTGGCGTGCCGTGGCGTGGCGTGCCGTGCCGGGAGGGGAGCGCTGCGGGAGCCCGCTTCGGCGGGGCCAGCTTCGTGGGCCCAGCTTGGCCAGCTCGCGGGGCCGCGGCGTGGCTCCCTGCCTGTTTGGCGGTCGAATGCCCGGCCCCGGCCGCTCCATGCCGCGAAATAAACGCCCCTGGAAACTGGCTGTACACGGGCGGCACGGTGAAGCGCGGTGCGCGAGCGCACACTCCACACAAGTGTCTCTTTTTTCATTGTAATGACGCCGCGATACACGCCGGCCGGCCAGACCGGCAAGCGTGTTGCCAACGTTGGCAACAATGAAGCGGGTCCAGGTGTCTGCACAGCCTGCAGGGATTGGCGGTCGCCATGCTGGCTGGGCGGCCTGCCTGGGCCGGCCGGGTTGCGCGGTGGGTTTCTGGACAATAATTGCAGGCTTGGTAGGTCGTTCAAGTGGTGGGGTGCGGGCAATTGTCTGGCAGGAGTGTGAAGGGGGAAAGGAGGGGAAAGGGGAGGGGGCTGCGCGGGGCTGCGGGACAACTGGTAGGCTAGCGGGTCAATAGCTTGCTGGAGGGTGCATGCCCGCCGCCGTCGGCGCGCCCTGCCGCCCTGCCATCAGATTATTGTTTGTGTCTCTCTCACTCCCCCGGCTGTCCTCGCCCCTTTCCGAACCATTAGCTTCAACGGTTTAGGCGGTTCGCTGCGCCAAAAAGACACAAATTTACCAAGATAAGTTGATTTCGTCGGGGCCGGGTGCTGCAGTGTCCGACCGCCCGGCGGATGTTCAGCGTCCTGGAAACGCGATGATGTCACAGCATGCTAATTATTACGCGTACTCGATGCGATAACACCATTCAAAGCAGATTAGCCGCCGCGTTGGTTTGGAATCGAACGAGCGTGAACGCATCGGGTGTTCGCGGAACGGCGGCACCATGCTTACTAGAAATTTTCCATATTCTTTTCTAAATTTTTTTTCGCTTGTTCTGTGGGTGAGTGCATCCCGCCCGAGGGGCACGTACCAATTTAAAATCAGTTAGCGAGGCACACAACCTTTTTGTACCCGTGCCGTCCCTCATCGTGGTGTATTATCGATCGAGGTTCGCACCTCGTTTATATTCAATTCAGGTTTCCGAATCAAACCAGCCCTGAACCATGGCTGAGAGCCGCCAGCACCGACCTGACGCGCCGCACGGAATCGGCGCATCGGGGAGGGGGTACTGTTTTCAAGCGCCATGCCCACCTCTGTTGTTCCGGGCGTCGACTTCCCCCGAAAAAATGAGAAAAGTCTGTCTCTCTCCTCCATCTTGACGATGCTATGAACTCATGAATATAGGCAGAGCATTTGGCGCCCACTGATTTATGATGCCGGGTCGCCGGCGCCCCGCCCCGCCCCACCCAGCCGCGCCACGCCGCGCCACGCCCCACCACGCCCCCGGCATCCTCGTGCATATCTTGGCCGCGAACGAGTTGTTGTGGCAACAGGTGCCCCTCAAGGAGTTGTCGCGGGGTCGCTCACGGTCCGCTTTATCTCCTGTGGGAACCAGTGAGAGTTGCCGAGTGGGGGCGGGGGGAGGTTGTGTGGACGAGAGAGAGAGGAGAGGTTGCACTCATTTCGTCTCGAGGTTTTGTCACAGCTCATGAGGGCTGGTGACTCAGCAGCGTTCGCGAGCAATAGTAGCGCCACACACATACACACACAGACACACATGCGTGAGGGGGATAGAAAATGTGCAGGGGGCAAAGAGGCGGGGGGGCATTTCTGTTGGTACCAACGTACCAACGAAACACCCGCGCAGTCATGCCTTTAAATTGTACTCATGGGAAAGTGACGCAAACTCTCCCACACCCCGGGCGGCCGTGTCCGCGGAGCTCGACGAGAGTTGCGTGGCGTTTATTTAGGTCCATTTTTGTTAAATTTTTCATTCATTTTTGGGGGGTGGGGTGAATATAATGAAGGGTGTTGCAATTGGTTGTTGTTAATGGACCTCCACTGTTGCGCTTCAACAGATGGGGTTTCGTGGAGTGGCCACTTTACCAGTGGCCCATCTGCCACTGCACTATACTGCACTCCTGCGGGCGGCCGCCGGGCGGCGCACATGTCGCACTGACCGCGTCTTGAAATGTATTATAGAACCTTGCTGCATTGCTGCCATTGATTTACGGCTGACGGCGTCTTAATCTTTGTTTCAAATTCGATTCAAATGCGATCCTCTTCTTTTGCCATTCGGCAGGCTGCTTCTTTACGTAATCCCCCCGCGCGGACACAGACACACATACACATAGACACACACAGAGACACACACTCACTCACAAACACACACACACACGGCGCAGACGCACTCTGCCTGTTACGCGTGCTGTGTTTTCGTTTGCTTCTGTTTACGTTTCTCCATGTCCATATTTTCAGAGGATTCGCTTCAAGGCCACAACCAAGAAAAAACTACCCTCACGAAAGAAAATAGCTTTATCGGTATTTTAGGCATCTTTAAATCTATGTCTGGGATAATGACTTTACGGGGAGCTAGTCCGCAAGGCTTCTACAAAGGGCTGTTCTTTGGATAACCGTCTTTTCCAAAGTCGGGAGCGGGTTAGGGTTGCTCGGTTATGGCAAAGGTATTTTCTCCACGATACGGGTTAAAGCGGGGCCCGGGTTTCTGGTACTGAATCTGGGCTTTCATACAAACTTTTGACAAGTTTGGTGGTTTTCAGGGCAACTTGGTTGGTTTTGGAAAATAAGGCTTCATCAACGCGGGTGCTGGGGAATGGCAGGGTGTCTGGTTATCCAGGCACCGGGATGCCGGTTGTCGGGAGAGCGCGCTAGATAGTCGGTCATCGGATGCTGGGCTGAATTGTCGTGGCAAAGGGATAATAGGGTTTAGCGGGATTGGAGGCCCCCACCAAGTCTTTCCGAGGTGGGGGGAGGTTCATTTAATTTTTTACTCATCAAAAGTTGCTGCAGGCTTTCAGGCCCACAGGGGGAGAATTAATGTTTCTTTTGTTCAGGTGTGGCGAAAAAAACCCGCGAATTTTTGACACTCCACTGCTGGTTTCCTGGGGAAAGGGATTTTCTTGGTTCTTGGCCCCCGAGACGGTGCCCCATAAAAGCAAAGTCCACAACCGCTGCCTTTCCTGGTGACGGAATGTGGGCTGGAGTCAGAAGCAATCGGGAGAGGGGGAAGTCTAGCAATAGGTACGGCGGTTGTAAATGGGAAAATCGGATGCGGTTTGTTTCCCCTGCTAGAGCGTTGGGTGTTCAGACCAACCCGGGATAACGGCTGGTAATCCTGCCAACGTGGGATTGGCAGGATGTCCCCTCCTCAACTCGGGTGCAGGGCAGGTTTCAGGTTTTTCACAGGGGCCTGTCTGGGCTGGAGTTTATGGCTGCGGGATGCTGGGCTGATTGTCGTGGCAAAGGGATACTGGCTGTCGTGGCAGCGGGATGTGGCGAGGCCCACACCACGACGTGCTTGCCCCGACGCGCTGCGCGTAGGCAGGCCTTTCATTCAACTTTGTTTACTCATCAAACATGAGGGCTGTCAGGCTGCAGCAGCCCACAGGGGAGAGAATTAATCCGTTTCTTTAGACCCTGCTCGAAATGTGTGTGGCTGTCCACAAAAAAACCTGCGAATTCTGACACTCCACTGACGTGTGCCTGGGCCAGCCTTGGCCATTTCGTGCTTCGTGTTCTTTGGCAGAGACGGTGACCCCGATAAGAGCAATGTCCACAACCGCTGTCTTTCCTGTTCACAGGGTCGTATCTGGACCAGAAGCAATGTTGGGAGGAAGGAGGAAGAAGTCTAGCAATAGGTACGTACGGTTCAGTAAAAATGGTGAAAATTGGTATGCGTTCTTGTTTCCGCTGCTAGAGCGTGCTTTCAGACCAATCTCCGGCATAACACAATTTTATCCCTCGCCACACTTTTGAGTGGGATTCGCAGAGATGATCCCATCCTCACATCTCGCTGCAGGCGACAGCGTTTACAGCGTTTACTCCCCTCCCCACAGGACCTTTTAGGGCTGCAGAGTTGAGTGTGTCTGGCGGTCAGTGTCGTGTCATGTGCCCTACCCGGCAGGACGAAGCAGGGCAGTAGGTGGCTCCCTCCGTGAGAGTGGTCATCTGCGTAGTACGCACGCACACAGACACACTCTGTTTGAGGATCGGGTTGCAGTGGCTCCCCGCTCCGTCCACGGGGAGGCTAGGCTAGGCGCCCCCTGCGCGTTGACGTGGTCGCGGGGCCCGCGCTGAGATTAAGGTCCCACTGCAGACTGATTCCGGGAGTCGTTTTAGTCGCTCTGTCTCTCTCGCGGATATAGGAGGTCAGTGCGAGAGAGACAGAGCGACGAAAACGACTCTCAGTCTGCTGCACTTAACTTGCAACCCGGCTCCGCCCCCAACCCGCATACAGTGTAGTCTGCGCTCCGAAACGCGGCCCCCGTCGCGAGGCCGCACCGAGGCGTGTTTGGCCAACGCAACAGTGTTTGCCGACGCGAGGCGCTATTGCGCGCTTCCTTCCGTGCAGCGTGTCACATCCGTCATTGTAACGCTTAAGACGAATTGGTGTCAGATTTGTCGCTGTCACTCTCGGGAAGGAACGCCCACAGTCCCTCCGCCACACTGCCAGAAACTAGGAAAACGCCGCGCGAGATGCTGTATTTGCTCGCTAGTAGTCCACTTCCTTATTTTGTCAGTGAAGAGACACACGCACACACACACAGTGCGGTAGTTTAAGTGCGCGGTGTACAAGTGGCACGCGAAGCAGGCGAAGGAGTGTGGGGTCCGCGGGGACCGCACTTCGTGGGTGGAAACGCGACTCCCGGCAAACAAAGGTGCCGCAGCACACCGATTCCGAGAGTCGTTTTCGTCGCTCTGTCTCTCTCGCACCTGTACGGCACGCCCCGTGAGTGTGAGAGAGACAGAGCGATGAAAACGGCTCTAGGAATCAGTCAGTCAGGCAACCACGGCGCGCCTCCAAACGGAATCACTCGTCGCCAACCCGTTTTATTTATAAAGTTTCCTTTCATTTTTGCAGTGTCTCGGCTAATGAGCTCGTCCACCGCCACCATGAACATGAACATGAACATGAGCAACATGGCGGGCCTGTCCACGTGCTCGGTGACGGGCGAGAACAAGCCTATGCAGTTCCCCCTGACGCAGCGGAGGAAGCGCAGAGTCCTCTTCACGCAAGCCCAGGTGAGTCCACTGGGGGAGGTCCACTGGGAGAGGTTCACTGGGGGAGGTTCACTGGGGAAGGTCCACTGGGGGAGGTTCACTGGGGGAGGTTCACTGGGGAAGGTCCACAAGGGGAGGTTCATTTGGAGGAGGTTCACTAGGAACCCCAGCAACATGAACGGAAATCGAACGAAATCGTTCAAAATTTCTTGTCCCACTCGTTTGAACGTGAATCGTGGTGCATCATAAGGCCGGGGCCTAGCCGAGTCACATCGAAACGAATGTGACATTTATTATTCAAATGAACGTGACACATTCCAAACAACAACAACAACAAAACTAGGAAAAGAGGTGAAGATGGAAGGCCGCTGCAATAAAGTGCGCTCTGCGCGCGGTCGTCAGCGTCACTGTGTCGCTATGAACGTGTGACAGGCAAGCCGCTGTCGCATTCGTGCACCACTTTAGGCGTCAGTCTAAATAATGACAAGGCCGGCCGGCGAAAACGCATCTCCACAGAGATCCAATTGGTGAAAAACTTTGACGCCTTTTCCTGCTGCCCGTCAGTGACATTCGCTCATGCCCGTCCTCTGCCGACGCACGCACACACTCGCACTCACACACGGACACGCGCACACAAGCGCACCTCGTGTCGCCAGACGGACATGTTATTGGAGTACGTATTGACGCTGCGCACACCAATAGCGCACCGAGCAAACACCGTCCCATGGTGGCCAACCTACGGCCCATTTAAGACACGGCCACCGAGGTGGATCTTCTCTTTCATCCTCCCATAGTGTTATTTTTGAATGAACTTTTTTTGTTCTTTTTTCGCGTCACGTTGCGTTGGTATCACTGTGTTTCCCTTGGCCGGACGGGCGTGCCTTGCCAGTGGCGTGCCAGTGGCGTGCCGCATGGTGCTGCGATGACGGGGGCATTCTGTCGACACCTGAATGGAGCCCCCAGGAGATCCCCCTCCCCTCCTTCCCTTACCCTCCCTTTCCCCTCCCCCCTCGGCCTTTTGTCACTGCTGGCGCCACTCGGCTGCGCCTTGGCTGCGCCACCGCCACCGCCACCGCCACCCACGCTCGTCTGGAAGTGCCTCTTCCTTCCCAAATTCATTGAAAAGAACGTCTTATTTCTATTTATCGAGAAATTAATTATTTATTTTTGAACCGTTCTCGTCATGTTTTGCCACCAAAAAAAATGGAAAGAACCTATTAGAGCCGCAAGGCGCCATTTGAGGAGGAAGCGCCTCTTCCTTCCCAAATTCAAATTAATTGAAAAAGCGCCTTCTTTCTGTTTATCGAGAAATTAGTGATTCATTTTTTGACCGTTCTCGTCATGTTTTGATGGCCGAAAAATGAGAAGGATGTATCTATTAGTGCCGCGAGGCGCCACCAGGGGGAGCCCCTTCATACTATGAAACGAAGATCTTCCTGACAATCATGGGCGCTTTGTCGAAGGCGTTCACTCACACACACACAGACACACACACACGCAGAGCAGGGCCGTCCAGTCACACATGCCCCGGGAGAGTGAAAGCCCCGTTGAATAGGGCGGGCACCGCGCTGCATGGCGCGGCGTGGCGCTGCGCGTCGAACACCAGATACGTGTATTAAATGAGGGGCAGCTTTGTGTGCGCGGGCGATCGCCACAATCGGAAAAGGGGCCACGACAATGCGGCAAAGCGAGGAGGAGGTGTCTGCGGCGGCGGCGGCGCTGGATGGATTTCGGTAAAAGAAAAAACCATGTGTGATTTTTTGGCCCGTCCCGTTTATTTTTTGTGGCCGAAAAATGAGGAAGGTTTGTATGATATTGTGCGCGCGTGTCGCGCTCGCCTCATACTATGAAACGAAGATCTTCCTGACAATCATGGGCGCTTTGTCGAAGGCGTTCACTCACAACACACAGACCACCCACAGCGCAGAGCAGGGCCGTCCAGTCACACATGCCCCGGAGAGTGAAAGCCCCGTTGAATAGGGCGGGCACCGCGCTGCATGGCGCGGCGTGGCCTGCGCGTCGAACCCAGATACGGTATTAAATTAGAGGGCAGCTTTTGTGTGCGCGGGCGATCGCCACAATCGAAAGGGCCACGACAATGCGGCAAAGCGAGGAGGAGGTGTCTGCGGGCGGCGGCGGCGCTGGATGGATTTCGGTAAAAGGAAAACCATGTGTGAATTTTTTTAAAAACCGGCGTGTGTTTTCTTTTTGCCCTTTCCCGTCATAGGTTTACGAACTGGAGAGGAGATTCAAGCAACAGAAGTACCTGTCCGCCCCTGAAAGGGAGCACCTAGCCAGCCTTATTCACCTAACGCCAACACAAGTGAGTATCCCATTGTTCGAGCCAGCCACCCCGCTTTGCAGCGACAACGACAACAACGCTTTGCACGGCCAATCGACTCGGAGAGGGAGGCGCCCCTGCAGGGCCTGGCCCTGGCGGAAACGGTTGGAAAGCGTCTGGAGCAGACTGATTCCGAGAGTCGTTTTCGTCACTGCCGTCGGCCTCTCGCACCCCAACGGGACGCCCCATGAGTGCGGGAGAGACAGAGCGACGAAGACGACTCTCGGAATCAGTCTGCTCGGCGTCTGCCGCCGCGGGGTGGGCGTCGTTCGCGCTTCGCGACCACAATGCGCCGCCGGCCACCGCCGGGCACCAACGCCTCGTTGTCAACGGATAACAGTTTAATGCCCGGTTAGCCCCGCGGCCAGAGGCTGCCGGAGGCCCGAGCGAGGGTCGGAGGGTGGGCCGGGGTGGGCGCACCAGCTCGGAGCGAAGCTGACGGGGTGGCCGACGGCCCGGCCCCGCCACCACGCCCCGCCACCCGCCCCCCACGCCCGCCACGCCCCGCCACGCCCGCCAGCCACGCCCGCCACGCCCCGCACCACGCCCCGCCACCCCGCCACGCCCCGCCCGCCCCGCCACGCCCCGCCACGCCCCGCCACGCCCCGCCACGCCCCGCCACGCCCCGCCACGCCCCGCCGCGCCCCGCCCCGCCACGCCCCGCCACGCCCCGCCACGCCCCGCCACGCCCCGCGCGCCGCCCCGCCACGCCCGCCACGCCCCGCCACGCCCCGCCAGGGCCCCGCCACGCCCCGCCACGCCCCGCCACGCCCCGCCACGCACGCCCCGCCACGCCCCGCCACGCCCCGCCACGCCCCGCCACGCCCCGCCACGCCCCGCCACGCCCCGCCACGCGCCCGCCGCAGCCCCCGAGCTATTGGGATCACGTTGCTAATAAGCTGTTTGCCAAGAGGCTGATTCACTTGTGGCCTGAGTCGAGCTTAGCCCCCGGGCGGCTGCCGTCGCCGCCCCCCGCCCGGTTCAGCCCTTCTGCTGCGCGCCCCTGCCAAGAGTTGGACCTGTGAAATTCGGCCTCTGCCCGTATTTTCCTTCGTTTTTATTTACAAATCCGTCTCTGATCCGGCGGCCCGGCGGGGCTGGGCAGGGCCAGCACCATCATGCCGTAAGCGTGGCGGCGTGGCGGAGGGCGTCCGAAGGGAAGCCAATCGCGCTGGCCGGCAGCGCTCGAGTTCAGCGTGCCTGTGCCGGTCTTCTGGCCCACTGTGCGGTCTCGGACGTGCGGCCCGTCGGCCGCGAAACGAAACGAACCCCATCACGGAGGAGAAGGAATAACAGAAGGGTTAGGCAGGGCGAGAGGGGCCGAACAGCAAACACACACGGAAGTTCCTCGGTCCGTTTGCTCAGGGAGGCACACTGGCTGGCACACTGGCTGGCACACTGGTGAGGCGGACGGGCAGCACGGCGGCACCGCGGCACCGCACACCAAAAAATATGGGAGGCCAATGTACAGGACATTCCGATGCACTCTCGAGACTCTCGACAGCGTCAATATTGCCCCAGTGTCACGCATGCCGCGAGGTGAGGGCCGCGCCGTCCTTGGGGCTCGCGCAGGAGGCGGAGGACGCGACCACCACACTTGCCCGATTCACCATTTCCTACAGCGTCGTGCCCGTCGCTCTGTCTCTCTCGCTCCTGAACGGGGACGCCTTACGAGTGCGAGAGAGACAGAGCGACGAAAACGGCCCCCAGTCTGCAGCCGCAGTCCCACGGGCGACCCTGTACCTATAGTGGCCCGCCGATGGGAAAATCCGCAACACCGGCGGTACGGCCAGTCCTTCCACGCGACTCACCTGAGCGGAAACGCGGCAGGGCGCCCCTCCCCTCCCCTCCCCCTCCCCTCCCCCGTCCACCCGCGACACCTGTCCACGGTCGATCAAATGGCTGAGAAACTTTGTGCTCTCTTGCTCTGCTGCGTCCGTGCAATGCGAGACTCTCTCTGTCTCAGCGACGACTAATTTTTCTCTCTTTCCACCGCGAGGAAACAATGACTTCCGAACGCCTGGGTAACAAGGAAGCGGTCCAGCCAGGCGTGCATAACAAACCACTTCCGGTTCCAGTTGCCTCGCTGTTTGGAGCGGTTTGCTTTTCGTATAGATAAAGCTCAGTAGGATTTTGGGAGTGTGGGTGTGTTTGGGGTTATTTTAGCTAAATCCCGATTATTGAGGCGTAATAGAGTGCACACCCCCTCGGATCGAGTCGAGGTACATAATGTTTCAGCCACAAGACGTGCGGGCGTTGATACTGTCTTGAAAACGCTCGCCCTTGCTCAGCGACCTCAAGCCAGTGGCTACGCTCTCGCGTCCTTGGCTTCCTAAATCCATCCCAGGCGGGGAAAAGAAACTCGGCAGTCAGTGCAGTGGCATTGCATTCAGTGAGTGATTTGTCGCACGTGAGCGGTTCGTGTGGGAATGGAGCGAGGTGTGGTCCAGCCTCCGTGACACCGCCACGCTGCCGCGCTGCTGCTCACCTGGCTGTCTGCCGCCTCCAGCAGACCGAGAGTCGCTTTCGTCGCTCTGTCTCTCTCGCACCCCTAGGGGACGCCCCATGAGTGCGAGAGAGGCAGAGCGACGACAGCGACTCAGGTGGTCAGCCCGCAGGTGGTCCTTCCCGGCGTGTGCACCGCTTGGCGGGGGGCGAGGGGGGGTCCCCCTCACGGCGGCACTCTCGCACACTTGATACAGGCCGTGGCGACGCCGTGGCGACCTACCAAGGCAGAACAGTTCCGCCAAATCAGTGGCTTGTGCATAATCCCGCGTCGCTCTTTCGTCTCACGGCCTCGCCGTTCTTCTGCAGACTTTTAGACGTCGGCTCGACCGTTTTCTCGCTCAAATTGTGTGACTCGCCTGCCCTTTTAATAGGTACACATATCATCAAAATGGCTACAAAATTTTCTTTTTATTTTAAGTAAAAGATTCAAGGTTATATTTGTACTAAGAATTTCAATTACTTCGTAGTTTTTTACGCACGCACAGATTCGTGAGAAGCTTATGCACGGAAAGCGACATAGTAATTTAGTGTGAACGATTTCAGCAGCGCCCATGTTGCAAGTCCGTGGTTTTTTTTTCTGTCTGACGATCAAAGCCAAAGCGGCCGGGGGCTCCCTTACTCCCACACGCAGTGCATACAAATATTAATAATAACAACAAGTTTCGGCGCCAAACTCTTTTCGGTGAAAAGGGAGCCAAATAATAATGACCCCACTCGCTCCAAGTAGCCCCTGCCTGGCTCCACGTCTCCGCAATCAGAGTGCAATCAAACTGAGCTCTCGCGTCAGCGCGCAAATCCCCCAGCCTCCCCGCTCGCCTCCCTGCCCTCGGCCCGCGTCTCTCTCTCTCTCTCTCTCTCTCTCTCTCTCTCTCTCTCTCTCTCTCTCTCGCACCCCAACGGAACGCCTCCGTGTGTGCGAGAGAGACAGAGCGACGAGCCTCCCCGCTCTAATCCAGAAACGTTTCCCTTTGCCCGCGGTGCTGCGCCACGCCGCCACAACTCCCTTTGACTTCTTCCACGCGACGCGGCCCGCCTCCCGGAGAGCGAGAGAGAGAGAGAGAGAGAGAGAGAGAGAGAGAGAGAGAGAGAGAGAGAGAGAGAGAGAGAGAGAGAGAGAGCGAGAGAGATAGCCAGTGGGAACGGGGTCAGGAGCAGGAGCTTGGCGTCATTAGGATCGCGTCGACCGAAGCGCCAGGAGAAAGAGAGAGAGAGAGAGAGAGAGAGAGAGAGAGAGAGAGAGAGAGAGAGAGAGAGAGAGAGAAAGGAAGCGAAGTAAAATCGACGCATTGAGAATTTGTTTTCGAGGTCAAAGCTTCCCGCCAATAGCCTTGCTGGGATGACTTTCCGGTCTCTGTGTGACGTTATTTGACACCCAAGGTATCGGTCTAGCCTGCAGCCGACCGGACCGCCTCACTGGAAGTCGCGCTGGAAGTCGCGCTGGAAGTCGCGACTGGAGACACCTTGCCTAGGCCTGGCCTGTGGGCCTGGCCTGCCTGGCCGCGAGGAGCCCAGGTGAGGTGGTCGTTAAAACTTGCGGAAACAATCGAGCAAGGGGGATGGGCCGTAATTGCTGGAGAAAGGGAAGACGGCTGGAGTCCTGCTGGAGGCCCTGGAGTGCTGCACCCTGCCGCACGGCCTGGCTGCCTGGCTGGCTGCCTGGCGGCACGCGCACGCGGATATCTCGTTAAAGTCCACTCACGGGCCTCATCATTAAAGCAAGAAGCTTTGGGACGTTTGCCACATCCACCTCTCTCTCTCTCTCTCTCTCTCTCTCTCTCTCTCTCTCTCTCTCTCTCTCTCTCTCTCTCTCTCTCTCTCTCTCTCTCTCTCTCTCTCTCTCTCTCTCTGTACGGACACTCCCGGTGCGGTGCGCAGGGGAAGGAAAAGATGCCTCTGATTGTAAAAGCTGCCTGCTTCTAAAAAGTACTGTTAAAAATAAATAAAATTACAGCTGATTTTTCAAAGGCAGGATTCCACTTTTTTGCGGTGTAGTGAGTGAGAGGGGGAGGCAGAGGGGCCTACTACGTGCGGCTTGCTTGATGGCTGTGTGAGATGGGGAAGAACAATGGCTCCACCGCCCATACGGGCGTCCCAGCGCTGCGCACAAGAAAAGGGCGGATATTTTCATGCAGCGGGAAATGAAACAAAAAAGCGACACCCAGTTTTCTCACCGTTTATCGCGCGCGTAGCAAAGGGGAAAATTGAGCACGGCAGGGCGCATTTTACTGAGCTCAGTCAATTCCAGGGAAGTCCCTCCTCGCCTGCAAGCGAGTCCTCCCGTTTTTGACGAGCAGACAGGATGCTGCTCCCCCTTGCACCGGGACGGCCGGGACGGCAGAAACAAGGCTGCCGGATCCTCGATAAGACACGGTCGGGCCCGCACAGTGGGCCAGAAGACCGGCAGAGGCGGCCAAAATTCTAAACGCGTTTTGAGCTCCAGAGTCGCTAAATGGGTCTCGAACCGAACGTGTGAACCCACTCATGGGGGCGAGAGAGACAGAGCGACGAAAACGACTCTCAGTCGTCTGCAGTGCAGTCCCGGCCAAGGGGCGCAGCGCCGAGACGCGCACCTCGGGCGACGAAGCGGGCGCGGCGCACTCTCCATTTTCCATGAGATGTTTGACCAGGCGGAGGGAGCAGAGGGCCGGGCCTCTAGGGCCGGGCCGGGGCCGCGCGGAGGGCTGCAGGGTGTCTAAGGCGCCGCCTGGGCCTCGCCTTGCGCTCATTCACCCCGCCTGGATTATTTATGAATACGCAGGGCGACGCAGAGAGTCGTCTTCGTCGCTTCATCCCTCTCGCATCCACACGGGACGCCGCATGAGTGCGAGAGAGACAGAGCGACGAAAACGACTCTCGGAACCAGTCTTGCAGGGTGCCCAAAGTCACGCGCGGAGCGGGGCGAGCCAGGCGAGGAACTCTGCAAATAGCGGCCATCTTCATTTTTCATACCGCCTGCACTTTGTGTTGTCGATCGGGCCGGGCCCTTCGTACACGGCCTACACGGCGATGGCGCCCTTGGCCTCCCCGCGCCCTTCCCGCCCTCGGCCGCCCTCGGCCGCCCTCGGCGCAAAGGGACTTTGTGCCATTTTTATTCGCTCTCCAGCGGACTGAATCCGAGAGTCGTCGCTCTGTCTCCTCGTCCTCATGGGGCGTCCCCGTATAGGCGCGAGAGAGACGGAGCGACGAAAGCGACTCTCGGAATCGGTGTGCGGGACGCGCATGCGCGTGGCGGGCCGTGCGGGCCGCGCGGCCGAAGGGCTGCCAGGAAGGACACGTCAAGGGCGGCCCCTTCCCTTCTTCCCTCCCAGTCCTGAAGAGGCACACAAACTTCCGCCCCGCAGGGCCGCAGACAGGAACACTGGCTTCCCAATTTGAGGGCGGGGCGGACGGCAAGGAAGGGCACAGTGCCGCAGAAACGCGATCAATACGACTCCGCGTGCCATACACGTTCGGTTCGAGTCCCATTTAGCGACTCTAGAGCTCAAAACGCGTCCGGGATTTTGAGCGCCTCCACCGGTCCTCTGGCCCACTGTGCGCTTCTAGGCGTTATCACACGGTGTGGTCGACACATGCAAGTGTAGGACATTATGGTCTACGCCTGCAAGTGTGGCTTAGATCAGCAGTGTTATGCTCGTAGGGCCTTTGGCAAATGCATTCGCTAACTTGGCTTCCGTTTTGTCTGTTGCAGGTCAAGATTTGGTTCCAAAACCACAGGTACAAGTGCAAGAGACAGGCCAAGGAGAAGGCCATGGCGGAACAGAACGCGCAGAACCAGGTGGGCATCTATTTCGATTGTTCAATATGACTCTGAGTCCATGCAAGCCTCGGGGCGGCCCCGCTGGAAAAGAGGAGGCAGTAGGTACGCACCCAACGCTTCTGTACAATCTCATTGAGCCCACCACTTTTGCCGCTTCTCTTTGTACTTACCGCGAATGAACAAGCAATCAGGCGTAAAATTTTTACTGTGCAGTCTTTTTGACATTGCATTGAGCCGCATACACACCCCGTGCAAACTGGTAAGAACTCTGGGTTGTCGCGGTCGAGGGCCACTGCCGTCTTGGCCAGCACTGCAGCCCTCGGCCGCGAGAACCCAGAGTTCTTACCAGTTTGAACGGAGAAAAATAGCTTCGCTTTCAGTTTTTTGATCAAATCATAATGAGTTACTCACAAAAGGAGTTGCACAACACACCATACAAACAAGGTCTTTCAAAGATTGGTCCGGTCGGGGGGCCGCGATTTCCGCCATTAAAACTCTCTCCCGTCATAAGAACGCGACCTTGGAAGTCCCTGCGGCGAGTTAAGAGGACGCCTTGTTCCAGGAGCAGAGCTCGCCGCGGAGGGTGGCAGTGCCCGTTCTCGTCAAGGACGGCAAGCCGTGCTCGGAGGGCGGCAACGGCAACAGCCGGGGCGGCGGTCCGTGCGGCCACAGCCCCGGCCTGGGCGCGCTGCCGCACCCCCAGCAGCAGCAGCAGCCCCAGCAGCAGCACCCTCACCAGCAGCAACAGCAGCAGCAGCAACAACAACAGCAGCAGCAGCAGGCGTGTTCCAGCACGGCGGCGCTCCTCAGCAACATGGCCTACCAGAGACAGAACCTGCAGCACCACCAGCAGCAAGCCAACATGTGCCCGTCGTACCTGCCCCTACAGGGCCGGGCGTGGTGATGAGCTGGCCGTTGTGATGTGAATTCCCCACCCCCCTTCGGACCCCTGCAGGGCGGCCGGGCCCAGTGGGACCCCATGAGGCCTTGCGGGACCCCCCCGGGACCTCGTGGGACCCCGCGGGCCGCCACGGCACCTCCCTCAGCAGCCCCTCGCACCGGATTCTGACCTACGTAGCCGTTTCGGAACACTGCTGCACTTTTTTGCCAACGGCGGTGGCTTTTGGACGAATGGGTTTACTGATAATACAGTGTCTTTTCCTAAATTTCTACAAAAAAAAATATGTAAAAATGTCAAAAAATGGAGACGCCGCAAATCTGCTACGAATTTGTTTGCTACTGTTGTTTGAGTTATTGGTTCCTTATTACTTAAAGTACTTACAGTTAGGCTGTAGTTCCGGTTCTCCTAGAGATTTGGCTACGGGGATTCTTCTGAAAGAATGCAGCCAGTAAAAATAATAGAGGTTAAAGTAATCATCTGACTGTGTGGCATGTACTGTAATATTTTCAAATTTGCGCTTTTTTTGTTCCTAAAGTTCTCAAAGTTGTTCTACGGGTTTATTGCTTACATCCGTCCAAGTGGGCAGAACTTTGGTAATACACCGTGGCTGTCTTCGCCCTCCATCCTGTTAGTCCAGAGCCGTGTGATCTGATCCGCCAGAACGCGTGCACGCATAACTCTTTTAGTAAAATTTATACGCGAAAAAATTGTGTTCAAAAACAAGAAAATTTAGGTTTTTGGCCAGAACGCAGTGTTTTGTTTTAAGTTCTAAATAATTGAACTATCTGCATTGCCAGCAGCGTTGCCAGCGTTTTTAATTAGCAATTGGAGTTTATTTCCATGAGTCAAAACAAAGAGAACTAATCTAAATTAAGGGGGTGAGTCAGGTGGGTCTTCACTATGTGGCGCGCTCACTGTACATATCTAATGTGATAGATAAGTGACCTGTATATATGTATGTGTAAGTTTGTTAAAAGTTGATCGAAATCGGCAACACGAATCATGAGCACGAATGCATGTGATTGTAGCTTGTGTTCGTTTACGAAATAAAAAATATATATTGATGATTATAAGATTATGATAATTATTATTTATTTGTCGAGGGCCGGTTACCGGTGAAGTCAGAAATACTTAAAGGATGCAGAGAACAGAACCAAAAATGTGTTGTACAGTGTAGTTTTTGTTGCTCTGATGTTGTATAGAAGGCAGTTTGGCCTGGTGGACTGCTTTCAATATTTCTTATTGTTGATAGTAAGGGGTTTTTGACTCTTGAGTTGAGTTGTTATGTGCAATATGTGCTTACATCTGTTACATTTTGTTCCCAATAACAATAATGTGCATAGTGTCTTTCTTTTCATAATTTGGTAGCGCATCAAATTTTGTAAGGTTCTTTTTATATACGTCTCCGGGAAAATAGCAAATGTTTTTCTCTATTTTTGAGCCATGCAATTGCAGTGCCGTTGTCTTGATTTACTTTCAGTGTCCACTTCGTCTCTGAAAACGCGCACTTCTTAGTAACCTCAGACAAACCTCGACACTGGGCAGAGTTTTTCTTGTTAGATTGTATTATTATTTTGTAAAGATGGAACCTACCTGTACGATTGTATGCTGTGATGTTTAAGGTTTGTACAACATCTTGTTCGTACTTCGCCATAGAAACGATTAAAACAAAAAATTAAAGGTCGTTAAAATCATGGCAATAGTTGTCTTCTTTTTTTTGTTATCTTTTGATTTTGTTGCACCCTTTTCGTGGAAAGGAACAGACCAGTAAGAAGTAAAATAATACAAAATCGAGGTGAAGAATGTTTTTTTTTTTCTATCAAGTAAAGTGCAATGACGCTTCCCACACCCCTGCACCGCGAGCCTCCCTCCCTGGACTCCCGCCGCGCGAGCGGCAAGCAAGGCAAGCAAGCAACACAAATCGCGCTGCGGGGCCAATCGGCACTTTGTGCGTTGACAATGCAGGCCGAGCGCGGCGCGGAGAGCCACTGCAAACTCACTTATCCCGAGAACACTTTCCGGAATCCCAATTTGAGCGACTGGCGCCACCGAGGGGCGGTGTACAGTGGGCCAGAGGACCGGTAGAGGCGGCCAAAACTCTCGACGCGTTTTCAGCTCCAGAGTCGCTAAATGGGGCCCGAACCGGACGTGTGACCCCATCAATGGATTGCTCTTCGAACGAGGGTTCCATTAGTGGGGTCATACGTTCGATTCAGTTCTATTTTTTTTTACCTGTGCCCGGCTCCCTGCATATCTCTCCGCCTACCTTTTGCAAACGTGAAACGCGTTCGGAAATCGGCTGAGCAGTTTGTTTGGGAGCGTAGTACAGCAGCGTGCACAGGGGTGCGGCAAGCGCTCTAATCCGGGGCGGGGCAGGGTCAGGTTAACAACATAAAAGGCTGCAAGCGTGTCGGACGCGTGTCCGAAGGGAGGAGCAATAAACAGACTCCGTGTATGTGTGTGCGTCAGTGTGCGTGTGTGTGTGTGTGCGTGTGTGTGTGTGTGTGTGTGTGTGTGTGTGTGCGCGTGCGCGCGCGGGCGTGGCAGGTTGAAAGTCGCGGCTGCAGTTTTTAATTGGTGCGTACGCGGGGCTCGTTATGCACACGGCGGCGCCGCGTCACGTGACTACGTCGGACTACGTGACCCTCCCCTCCGAGGAGGCGGCCTGGCGGGCCTGGCGGGCCTGGTCGGCGGGGCGCCAATCTGGACTGATCTTCCGTGGGAAGTCAGGCATCATCAAACAAGGACAGCATAAAATCACAACAACAACAACAACAACAACAACAAGCAATAAGAGCACGCGCACACCCGCACGAGAGGTCCGCGGCACCCGTTCGGTGGCGACAGGCAATAAAGTCACCTGACACTCGTCGGGGATTACCTGGGGGTGCCTGGGGGTGCCTGGGGGTGGCGGTACCACACGCCGCGGGCCGGGGACCGGGACAGACGCATCGTGCAAAAAACTCGAGGGCCTCTGAGACGCCGCCGTGGAGGGGAACCAGCACCACACATGCCAGGGAGAAGGAGCTTGTTGACTGAATTGTTTCAATCGGTCCATCCACGGACGGCGGGAAACCATAACCTCCAAAAGAGATAAATTGAATCTGAATATGAACGTGAAACTGATGCGCGCGCCGACGGTCTTCTGGCGCACTGTGCAGGGTAGTTTCCACCGTTTTCAGGGGCGCGGCCGCGAAGTCGTCCTCCGTGAGAGGGAAAAAGACGACGGCCGCTCGTCCCACAGTGTAATGAGGGGCGTAGCCTGCCAGGCAGGCAGGCCTTTAGGCCTTGCCTCCAATTAGTTGCCAAGACAGGCGGCAGGCCGGGGCGGGGCTTGCCGGCGGGTCTGGCCGGCGTCCTGGCTGCCGGGCCTGCCGGGCCTCCGGGGCGTCGGCGCTAACAACAACATCAATTTGAAAGAGGCAACAAACAGGGCGGGACGAGGCGGCGGCGCGGTGGGGGGTCGGTGGGGGCGTCCACGGCCTCGGCGATGGTGAAGGCGATGGCGCGCCATGGCGGCGGAGCCCTTGGCGGAGCCCACACGTACGGGGCAGTGGCGTAGCAGCAGTAGGGGTGGCGGAGATCGCCATGACAAGGCACGATCAAGACAATGGGGTGCTCGCTGTCAAAGGGGAACACGTTCGTGTTCGAGCCGCGTTTTTATCATTGTGTTATTGCGGCTGTTTTTTTAAAAGCAGTTCTTTAGCTACCGCTGCTGCCTTTCCATCCGAATCCCAACCATCCAACCACCAAACCAGCCCGGTCAATTTTGTCTTGGTTGTGTTTTTTTCTTTTTTGCTGTTGTGTGTGTGTGTTTTTTTTTCCTGCGTTTGAATCTGACGTCGAGTATTTAGTGGCAATTTTCCCCATCCGTTAGCACACCTGTGCTGCGGGGTTGCGACGCCACTGGCATGGCGTTCTCGTGGCCCCACGCGCCGCGTGCAAGTTGGGCCGCCCTTTGAATATTCCCACACGCCCCGGACAAAGGCGGCAAAGCGCGCACTATTAGCGCCACCCGCATGAGAGAGAGAGAGAGAGAGAGAGAGAGAGAGAGAGAGAGAGAGAGAGAGAGAGAGAGAGAGAGAGAGAGAGAGAGAGAGAGACGCTCGGATGATGACGATCTCCTTGTTGTCGCGGCCGATTTGGTGTCGGCGGCGCGGCGGGTGGGCTCCAATCCAAGGGGGTGAGTGAGCTTAGGGCTGCGTCAGATTTGACACCACACGTTTTCGCAAACCAGATCTCCATACTCTTCTACGCCCTCGACTGAATTGTTGTTGTTGTTTGAACCAGTCATGTTGTTGATGAGCCCGAATAGGTTTTCGGTGTGGTTGGGGTTGGCGGTGGCGCTGCGTGGCAGGGCTTATTAGTCCCGCCGTTGTGGCAGCACACTGGCAGCACACGGCCCAATCACCACAAACAAAGCCACCGTGATTCGCATCGTGCACAGCGGGAAGGCGGAGCAAACTTAAATTTGCTGCCATTTTTCGAGTCTATTTCTGTTATAGAGATGAGTAAAAATAGTATTTACACAAGGTAAGACTCTAACTTTGACCCAGACTGGTGGTCCTCTGGCCCACTGCGCGGCGAGGCGGCCAAGAGGGTCGGACGCACGCGCCGCAAGGTTTCAATTCCCGCGCCAAATCGGGAAAGGGGGTGGGGGGGAGGGGGGGGGAGGCCTGGTCGCGAGGCGGTAGGCGGTTTGTTGTGGGCGTGGTGGTGACACTCCCCATCAGCACATTAACATATTTATAAGAATGGTCACGGGCGATCATCGACGCTGTGACCAGCAGCACCCCCACCCCCTCCCCACCCCCTTCCCTCCCTCGTCTCCTACTTCTTGCCGTTCACCACACCGTTCCTCCGGCCTCCCGGCTGAGAAATTGAACAAAGATGGTTTTGATTCATTTTCGCAGTGATATGATTTTTTTTTCATTTTATGCCACGTTTAAATTTCAATTCCATTGACCGAACGTGTGTTTGCTGAAAGGGAGGCGGCCGGGGCAGTGAGGCGGGGCGGGGCGGGGCGGTGCGGGGCTGGCCCGCCCAGCTTCCTGGCCTTCCCGGCCCAGCCGAGCAGTCACGGACCGGCTCATGAAGAGGCGATTTGAGGCAAACTAATATTTACCATTAGACTAATAACGCGCTCCCACAGGCTGAGCCCCGCCGACCGCGGCCGGGGCAGCTCGCGCGGGGTGGGGGGAGTGAGGAGGGAGGGGAGGGGCGACGCGGGGAAGGGAGGGAGGGCGGCAAACCCCCGCGGCAGCACGGCAGTCGCCGGCAGAACCAGCGGATTAGCGTGAACAAAACGCGTCCCGTCCACACACGATCATTCGTAATGAAAAGCAGTGACGCGTGCAATATAATGCACTGCAGAGCGGGGTGTGGGAAGGGAGCCGCGGAAATGCATGTCAACAGCGAGGCGCGAACGCAGCGGGAACGCAGCGCGAACGCGTCGACCTTGTCCAAATAGGCCCGCCGCCACATTCAAACTGCAACTTTTCGCGGCCAACAAGACGAGGCAGGGGCTCGCAGTGCGCCAGATGACCGGTGGAGGAGGCGGCCAAAACTCGAGACGGGTTTTGAGCTCCAGAGTCGCTCAATGGGACTCAAATCGAATGTGTGACCCTATCAATGGATTGCTATCCGATCGAAGAATCCATTGGTGGGGTCACACGATCGGTAAGTCCTGTTTAGCGCGTCCAGAGTTTTGGCCGCATGCGCCGGTCTTCTGGCCCACTGTTCGGCGGTGTCTCCAGATGGCGTATGATCTTCGATTCACTCCACATCGTTTCATCTGCCTCGCACCTGTGCGGGTCGTCGCATGAGTGCGAGAGAGACCTGGCCGCGGGCCGCGCGTGGTGCCGGGGGCGGTCGGTTTGGGGGCAGGAGGGCCCCGCGATAAGAGAGATGAAAACTCAATTTCATATCTTGACGTATTTGTAAAGAGGGCCCTTGCCGCTGTGTTGACATTGAGATGGTGGGGTGGACGGCGGCGCCGGTGGTGGCGGCCTGGCGACGGAGGAAGGGTGAGAGAGCAGTGTCGCCGTCTGCAGGGTGGTTCCGCGTGGTTCCGCGCGGCGCGGCCGTCGCTCTGTCTCTCTCGCACCCTTACGGGACGTCCCATGAGAGCGAGAGAGCCACACCGACTGCGCGGAACCACCCTGCTGCTCCGGGGTGGGAGTGGGGGAGGGGGAGAAGGGGGAGAGACCAGAGAGCACGGTGGAGATGTCGCGTCCTCCGCCCTCCCCGCGCGAACCCCAACTACCGCGCTACCGCGCTACCCGGCAGCACAGCGTAGCACAGCGGGCTGGTTCCGCGCCGTGCTTTCGTCGCTCCCTCTCTCTCTCCTCTCACCCATACCGGCGGAGCGCTTCACGAGTGCGAGAGGGACAGACGCAGCGCTCGCTCGGAATCCACCCCCGGCACAGCCTGGCACAGCCTCCCCTCGGCCTTGGTGCGTGCCCGAGCGGCGCTGCGTTATCAACTCCAATAATTTTAATGAGGTGTTGAAAAGATGGAGCGTGTTGCGGCGCCCGCTGTACGTGACTGTACGTGCCTCAGCGGGGCAGTACGTGACTGTAAGCGACTTGAGGTGACTGTACGTGACTTTAGGTGACTGTGACGATTGTGACTCTAGGTGACTGTGACTTTAGGTGACTGTACGTGACTGTGCGTGACTCGACGTGACTGC